AACCCCCTTATGATTCATCACCCCCAAACTCAATCCCAGCCTTCCCTTTGTGGTATGGTACCTTGCAGTACAATTTCAGAGAGATCCATACACTTGAACACAAGTTATTGTCTGGAAACTAGAAAAATGTGTTTTTTGGCCCCTTTTTGGCCCCCAATTCCTAAACATTGCGGCAATTACCCCCAAACTCAATTCCAGCTTTCCCTTTGTGATATGGAACCTTGTAGTACAATTTCAGAAAGATCCATATATTTACACACAAGTTATTGTCATGAAACTAGAAAAATGCTTGTTTTTTGCCCCTTTTTTGGCCCCTAATTCCTAAAATTTTGAGGCAATTACCCCCAAAATCAATCCCAACAGTCCTTTTGTGATATGGAACATTGTGGTACAATGTCAGAGAGATCCATACACTAACACACAAGTTATGTCTGGAAGTTACAAAAATGCTTATTTTTGGCCCCCAATTCCTTTACTGTTGGTACCATAACCCCAAAAATCAATCCCAACCTTCCTTTTGTGGTATTGAACCTTGTGGTAAAATTTCATAGAGATCCATTCACTTAAACTAAAGTTAGAGTGCGAAAACCAATGTGTCTTCGGACGACGCCAGACGACGCCAGACGACGACGACGACGACGACGCCGACGCCAACGTCATACCAATATACGACCACAAAAATTTTTTTGCGGTCGTATAAAAACCATGCCAAAATCTATAGCATATAAGTTCTTCAAGAGGAACAAAATCAGACGTGGTTTCCATATAGTGAAACTTTATTGAGTATACCAGAGAAAAGGACAGCTTCCATACAATTGATAACTTAGAGACAAATAGTTTAAGAACTGTGTCCATTATACCTACGATTGTAACTTACTTGCTTAAAAAAATATATTGCTGATTGTTTCATGACGAAATTTTCTGAAACTTACAGTCATTTTGTCTAGCTAATTGTTCATGCTCCTCCTTATGCATTAACTGGAACATTCCCTGTGGCCTACGTTTTAAAACATGTATCGCACAGGCACTTGTCTCTGAAAAAAGTTTCCTATATACCTCAATATAACACTGTGGCCCACACGCTGCACGCTATTATATGCTTTTGTGTCTAGAATTGGTACAGAATGTTATAATTTATGACATAAGATATCTGTTGGTTGTCAGATAGAGAACTGCTATTGTGGGAAACACAAAACTTCTTTCTTATTTCGATTTCAAGCTGTATCTCTTTCTTCCTTTTATTGGAATATATTGTAGGTTCTATACGAAAATCGTGACTAATATAAATGGGATTTTATAATAAAGGAATACAGTTACACAAAGTATGTCTGCTATAACTTTCCCGGTCATTATTATACTTCCATGCTCGGGGTTATTAAGAACTTATCTAAATGCAAAATGAAAAGAACAAAGGATTGTAAGAGGATGAACAGAACAAATGGTGTAAGAGGAGGAAAATAACAAGAGGATTTAAACAGTTTCGTTAGTAGGATATTGTTGATGGAAAGGAAAAAGGCCTAGCTCTGTTTGCCTAAGAAAATGAAGTTTTTGAGAACTATTTCAATATTCCCCATAAACTCATAATATAGGGAAATTCAAGAAATCAAGAAATTTAAACGACTAAGACAAGATAATGATAGTTTGTCATAATTATATTATAATGTGTGCATATTTAACGATAGTATATGAAGACAACTGCTTATTTCTATTAAAAAGAAATGGAGAATGTGTCCATGGGACACAATGCCCCCACTTGCATTTAATGTTATAAAGGGACCGGACTCCAGAACGGTAAAGGTGACGCCACCCAAATTCGAACTTGATCTGTGTTTTATGGTAAAAAGCTTCGATTATAAGTTTCATAACATTTGGTTGAGGCAAACTAAAGTTTGAGAAAGGAAACCAATTTTGGGACGTACGTATGGAAAGACGGACGTACAGACAAGGGTAACACTTACATAAAAATAGCCCACAGCAAAGTATTTTTAAGAGAAGCTTTATTATTACTATTCACATCATACTTTAAAATGAATGTCTGGGTATTTGTCCATTAGTAAATTGCTTGGCCTGAGTATGAATGGGATTTAAACCATGTTCACATCACTGCACTATTTTGTATGTACTCACTAAAACAGGTAGAAAAGATGGCTGCAATAGAGCTAACAGTCAATAACTTTAGGGGTTTGATTGCAAACTTTACCCCAAATCAGCATTTGGACATATATTGACTATTTGACTAATTTTCTACGCTTCATTTGTATTCATTGTACCTTCAATTTAACATGCATGACCATGTTAATTATTAGGTAATGTGACATAATTAGTACAATCCAATTTTGTACTTCTCGTGTCTTAAAAATGATAGAAAATAGTGCATAAATTAATATCAACATAGGTCGTTGACCATTATGAATAAAAAGAAATGTAAGGATATTATAGGATTAAACATATCTTTTCTGTAGGTTATTGATGTGTAAAATAGGCTGATGCCCTCACAGGCTTTACATTAAAGTCTGAAATGTTTTCGTTTAAAATGGGCCAATGCACTCATGAACTGAATAAGAACATAAATGTAAAGTGTTATTGATAAAAATTGTCCAGTTACTACATCAATAACCTTGAGAAAAAATATGCTCTATCCTTATAATTCTCAACACAAACATTTGTAATCTTTTTAATTAAATTTCACCTTTCTCGGATCCTTAGCATTCTGATCATGTGAGTCAGGCTTGAAAATATCTCAGTGAAATTGATACAGTGTTTACATTTGTTAAGAAAGTAGTGCCAATAATATGGTCTATCAAAGAGTAAACCAAAGAATGAAATCCTAATTGACCAATCACATTCAAGTATTTGTAGATATGCAAATCTAATAAGAATTATGTTGACAAGGCAGAAACACAACACCCATTACAAGTATTTGTAGATATGCAAAGCTAATAAGAATTATGTTGACAAGGCAGAAACACAACACCCATTACATTACAAATAAATGGGGAATGTGTCCATGGGACACAGATGATGCCCCCACTTGCATATCATATAAAGTTATAAAGGGACATAACTGAAGAACAGTATAAGTGACTGTACCCAAATTTGTACTTGATCTGAGTTTTGTGGTAATTAGTATTGTGTTCAAGTTTCATAAAATTTGGTTGAGGCAAACTTAAGTTAGAGAACGGAAACAAAAAAATTCAGCAATTTTTCCATTTGGAAAGGGGCATAACTCTAGAACGGTTAAAGTGACGCCACCTAACTCTAGAACAGTTAAAGTGATGCCACCAAAATTCAAACTTGATCTGTGTTTTGTGGTAATAAGCATTGTGTACAAGTTTCATAACATTTGATTGAGGCAAACTAAAGTTAGAGAACGGATACCAACTTTGGGACGTACGTACGGACGTTCAAGGGTAAAACTTAATGCCCCCTCTGCTACGGCAGGGGCTTAAAAAGATGCATTGTCCTACTGCAATAAGTTTCTGCTTCATCAACTTTAAGTCTAGTTGACATTAAATAACCATTAGTACTATAATGTATTGATTTAGTTTGCATGGACATTTAAAGTAAGTTAGAATATAAATAATATATCAGCAGCATAATTTCCCTGCTTTTAATGACAGAGCACGAGATGGAGAACAGCAATAAAAATACTTTGGATATTGTCAAGAGATTTTTTGTCATACTATCATTTTACTACAAATCCACACTGTCCAAGGAGACCAAAAAGTATATCACGAACATTCAAGTACAAAATTGTACTGCAATAAAGGCAATCAATATACAGAAATCCAAGTACCATGATCCCTTTGTTGAAACCCAATAAAGGAAAAGAAACAAATTCAATGCAATGACTTTTAATATTACCTCAATCACTTTTTCACTGTCAGACTAGGAATCCATACTATAATTGACCTTACAATTGATACATAGACCATGATGTAAATGCATACTTCTAAACACAATTTCAGCAAATCATTTAAACTTTAAAATTATGGCAATATTATATTTATATCCAATATTCAAGATAATGGCCAAATTTCAAAAGATTAACCATTAATTACAATTTTTTTCACAGGAAACAATATTGTAGCGAATGTAACATAACAAGAGACCAGCGTGTGGGGTACTAATTTTCATCAATTTTGTGGCTATAGGTAAATCTGCTGAACCATGAATAAAAGTGTACAACAAAATACAAGTTTCTTATAGATTTGTATGATGACATTGTTGACACTACAAAATCAAGAACTTACAAAATACAACAGGCACAGATCTCACCATTTTGAAAAGGGGAATTCCAACTCCCAGAACACGATAAAACGTTTGTATAATTAAAAAAAAAATAAATGAAACTAAAGGGGATTGGGGGGTTCCAACCCCCCGAACACCCTTGGGTCCGCCAATGATACAATTTTCTTGATTACATGAAACAGGAATTTAAAAAATCCCCAGTATTAAGCCATATAAAAACGAAAATCACCACATCCAATGTCAGTACTGTCATATATGAAGCTTATCGTTGATCGCAAGGTTGCCTAAAATTGCTTACATCCACTTCATTTGAACTTGGGTGGATAGTTGTCTCATTGGCAATCAAACCACATCTCCTTATTTTTTTATAGAAGTAACTTAACAATGAAATTTTTTTGAGTCCTTTAATATTCTTTGAAGATAATTTTTGTTTGGTATATGTGAAGTTGCAAATACCATAATGTCTCAAAAAGAAATGACATTTGTATATCAGGGAAAAGGGAGGGGGGGGGGGGGGTTACTTAATTTCTTTATTCTTTATATTTTTAGATAATTTTTCTCTATTATTTATCTACTTTGCCCATTATTCTCTTTTCTTTACATTTTAACACCCCATTATTCTCTATTCCTTTTACCTATTTTTGTCTATTCTTCATTTTTTTAGCTCTTTATTTTGCACTTTTTGCCCACTATTCTCTATTCTGTAAACCCCATCCAAAACCTTGTATATGATGTAATTACTCAAACAATGATAATACCTATAATTTTATTGTCAAGAAACATAATACTTACAACAGTAATGAGTACTTTGTTTTGCCTGCTCAACATCAGCACAGTACATATATATAACAATATAGATTTATAATAGGTAAACAATATAAACAATAGTGGGCATAACAATCCACAAACCAAGTTACAACCTTAAGGTGGTACCAAACACCTTGACTAAAATTAATTTGGATCGTTGAATTTTCAAAAAATTTTGACAAAATATTTACTTTGACCCTTTGACAAACATACAAAAATTTCAAAAAACTTAAACCACACACTTTATTGGAAAAAATTCATTGGATATATAGCAGTTTGACAAACACTAATTTTGATCATTGAGAAGCTTAATATTTCCTTAACAATAGAACGTGATTAAAACATTCAACTGATTTTACAGAGTTATCTCCCTGTTGTGTTAATTACCACCTAAATTGACGAATTTTCTATAATGTTTGTTCTATCTTCAAAGTCAATCGTGTTCATTGCTTCAAACTAACATTACAGGGATTTTACCAACTCTTAGCCAATGTTCTGTCCTGCTGTTTATTTTGATTACAAAAAGTTATTCTCAGTTTTCATTGATCTGAATACAATTATGACATCATAGTTCCTAAAAATTTTCTGTTGTAAAAATTGCATTCTTCCATCGAATCCGATACGAAACTCCAAGGAAAAAGCAATAAAGTTCTATGAAAGAACATTTTTTTTTTAAATGATTGAAAGAAAAATTTCTTGCTAATTCAGCATTATTTCAGTTCAGTAAGTATTTCAAAAGACAATGTACAGTACTTTAATAAATAACACTTATTAGTTTAGAGATAAAAAGATTGCAAGGAGGTAAAATATAACCAAATAAAAGAAATGTAAAAATGTTTATGCCGTGTTCAGGTGTGATCCATGATGCATCATTCAAACATTTTTTACATTATGCCTGTAAATATTGGGATTACTTTTTATGTATAGTGTAAAATGGTGAATAATTGATTGAGAAAGCTTCTCTTTGGATGACCATCTTTTCATGGAATAAGTCTTTGGAATTGACACCAAGCCGGGTAGACATGGGTCCTGACAAATTTTATTTAAATAAATTGGCAACACATTTTCTTTAAAATAGCAAAGTCAAAATTGAAACAAAATAATCTTGCACCATGCAAAAAATGGCAATAACATTACATGTTTGGAACAAATTGTCAACAAATTAACAGAACACACTGATATTTTAAATCATGCACACTATGAAATGACATTAATGGGTGAGTTTAGAGGCAATAACAACATTAGGCCACAATACTTAATTACAAATCAACATCTACCAAATCCAATCTGACATAAACCAGCAAAATTCACAAAAACTTAAATAAATAATAAATATATGAATATTTATATTAAAGTTTCTTATGGTACTATGAAAATTCATGTTGACTACTAATGAAATACATGATTCTAAACAGGAATGAGGCATACCATGTTAATGAAGAACGTCAAAATAGATGATGAACAGAAATCTGTCAAATGACCAACAAGATGAACAATTTAAAATATCTGAAGAAATCAACACTTTAGAGCTATTTTCCTAACGCTTGTAGTTTAAAGGTTTGGTTGGCTCAAGCATTGTAATTAAGATTGACATCTGCAATCAATAGATAGGCGGGGCTTCAGCTTGTATACATTATACTTTTGTTATTGGATGTTAAGTATAATGTTTAAATTTAAAAAAAAAGAATTCCAAAATCTTAATTTTATTCATTTATTTTAGAAAATTTATAGACTTCAAATGGAATTGTTACTAAGCCTTGATATATTACAGAAGTGTGACCTTTCTTTACAATAAGTTTTATTTACATGTGCATGGAATTTTCAAAATAAAAAAAATAATGTTATGAAAATGTATGATGATGATTAGGAGAAAAAACAATTCTTAACATATGATGATGTTAATTAAATAAGTTACCATACAAATTTAAATCTATCATATTTCATATAAGCTAAATCAACAGAAGGAAAGAAATAATTAAAAAAAGACTGTGAAGTAATAAAGTAATTTTTCTATAACCGTATTTACACTTTTGGTATTTAGCTGAATTTTCTCCGAATGACCTTAGATCTGCTCCGAATAACCTTCTGACGTCAAGCAACAATCACTTTCTAATTGAGATGTCAAATTTTACGGGAACTTGTGTGATTTTAAGTAAAGGCAGACAAATTTGCATACAAGTGTAAATACATCTATTAGGAAACTATTCCATAAAATAAAAACAAGAGTGCACACGCTGAAATGTCTCGCCTTCTTTACTAATCATTGATATTATGTTGATAGTCCTAAATATAAAGCTTTATTACAACTGTCACATAAACTTAACATTAACCAAGTAAACTAAACATTGACCAATGAACCATGAAAATGAGGTCAAGGTCAGATGAACCATGCTAGGCAGGCATGTACCGCTAACAATTCTTCCATACAACAAATTTAGTTGACCTATTGCTTATAGTTTAAGAAAAACAGACCAAAACACAAAAACTTAACACTGAGCAATGAACCTTGAAAATGAGGTCAAGGTCACATAAAACCTGCGTGACTGACATTTAGATCATAAAATATTCCAATACACCAAATATAGTTGAACTCTTGCATATAGTATTAGAAAAAAAGACCAAAACTCAAAAACTCAACTTTGACCACTGAACCATGAAAATGAGGTCAAGGTCAGATGACACCTGCCAGCTAGACATGTACACCTTACAATCATTCCATACACCAATTATAGTAGACCTATTGCATACAGTATAGGAAAAACAGACCAAAACACAAAAACTTAACTATAACCACTGAACCATGAAAATGAGGTCAAGGTCAGATGACACCTGCCAGCTAGACATGTACACCTTACAATCATTCCATACACCAAATATAGTAGACCTATTGCATACAGTATAATAAAAACAGACCAAAACACAAAAACTTAACTATAACCACTGAACCATGAAAATGAGGTCAAGGTCAGATGACACCTGCCAGTTGGACATGTACACCTTACAGTCCTTCCATACACCGAATATACGAGACCTATTGCTTATAGTATCTGAGATATGGACTTGACCACCAAAACTTAACCTTGTTCACTGATCCATAAAATGAAGTCGAGGTCAAATGAAAACTGTCTGACGGGCATCAGGACCTTGTTAGGTACGCACATACCAAATATAGTTATCCTATTACTTATAATAAGAGAGAATTTAACATTACAAAAAATCTTTATTTTTTTTTCAAGTAGTCACTGAACCATGAAAATGAGGTCAAGGACATTGGACATGTGACTGACAGAAACTTCGTAACATGAGGCATCCATATACAAAGTATGAAGCATCCAGATCTTCCACCTTCTAAAATATAAAACTTTTAAGAAGTTAGCTAACGCCGCCGCCGCCGGATCACTATCCCTATGTCGAGCTTTCTGTCGCAGGCTCGACAAAAAACAAGTAAAGAACTTCTACTCAATTGACAAAATCCTAATAAAAATTATTTGTCAACAAGCAAAAAAATCCCTTAACCATCTTCTCCAAATAGCATTAATTTCTCAAAAAAAAGATCAGCTGCATACTTGGAAAAATAGCACTAAATTGTGGGAACTATTGTTATCTAGTTCGCTGCAAGTATAAAAACAAATGAAATAAACACTACATATGCAATTTATTGCAATTAGTAGTTTTTTAAGGGGCAAAGATGTCTTTAATCCATGTCATACATAATTACAACGTAATCAACATGTACAAATAAATATTCTAATTTCCTCTGCAAACTTTGGAAAAAAAAAAAGTATGTAGAAAATTTGTTAAATTTTAGAAAATGTTTTAAAAAAACTTTATGTTCAATATTACAGATATTCGTTCAAATTACCATGATTTTCAATATAATACAGAAACATTTACAACAACACACATAACAGCAGCATATTTTATCTAAGTACATATTAGAACATTTTTTATGTCCTCAAAATTAGAGTGAAAAGAAAGACTTCATTTTTAACTGTAATTTAAAAAGGAACAATCATATAATTGATAATAATATTCAATTCTCACTATACAGCAATTTCTGATAATAAATTTTTTTCAGCTTAAAATTGGCAATAATCTTTACCTTTCATTTAATACTCCATAAAAGCAGTTTGATTGTCAAGTGGAATCTTACATGATTTTACATTTTTTTTGGTATTATATCCAGAATTAACCCATTCTCTAAGATGAATGCTAATAAATAAATGCATTGCACAGCAAAGAGATTGAAAACCGTATCATAAAAAATTAACAATACAAAACTATAAAATGCTGTCCATCTTTGCCAACAAATTGTATGTCAAATCATCTTGCAGCCTGACATGTTTCTGTTTGTTGAACCAAATCACTATCCATTTCTTCTTGGCCTTTTTTCTATCATAACTGAAACAAAGTATATTATTGTTTTACACAAAATATCCGAAAGTGCTTTAAAAAAACCAATAAACAAGAAATGAGCAGCCAAACTGACAGTAAACTTGGTTTTCTGCATTGTGAAGGTAACAATTGTAGAACTTAATAAGAGGGAATGTAGTGATTACAGGGAAAGGACATAAAGTGCTTTTTTCCCATCAATCAAGGACCATAACTCCTAAACGACAGTAGTGAAAATAGTCAATATCATACTTGACCTCCATTTTGTCATCAGTAACAATAAACTGTATATCATAATTTGATAAGAATTGGTTGAACAGTTCATATTAAAGAAATGGCACAGAAACGTCATAAAGTGCCATTTTTTTAATAAATAAACTGTTAACACAGAAATATGTCTCGCCTATTTGTTATTTTGATAATGCAAATGTTGAAATTAAAATAGCAATACTTTAACATGTAAGTTATGCAAATATTCAAAGTCAATGAACCATGACTGAAGGTACAGGGCTAAACAATCTCCATGGAAATGAGATGTGCCAATGCTAATACAACTGCAAACCAAATACCATTGACTTTTCATAAGTCGTTCCCTTTAAACAAACCTAAACACAAACATTAACTTGTAAACTATGTAAAAGTTTCAAAGTCAATGAACCATAATCAGTGGTGGGGCTATATAATCTCCATGGAAATGAAACTTGCAAATGCCAATACATTTGCATACTGAATATCATTGACTTAACATTAGTGGTTCATCTTAAAATGACCTAATCACAAACCAATACATGTAAACTAAGCAAAAGTTTCAAAGTCAATAGACCATGACTGAGGGGTAAGGACCAAATATTCTCCATGGAAATGAGATGTGTTAATGCTTATACAACTGCATACCAATTATCATTGACCTACCACTAACAGTTACCCTTAAACTGACCTAATCACAAACTTATACATGAAAACTAAGCAAAAGTTTCAAAGTCAATAGACCATGAATGAGGGGGCGGGGCCAAATAATCTCCATGGAAATGAGATATGCCAATGCTTATACAACTGCATACCAAATATCATTGACCTACCACTAGTGGTTCCCCATAAACTGACCTAATCACAAACTAATACATGTAAACTAAGCAAAGTTTCAAAGTCAATAGGCCTTGACTGAGGGGGCAGGGCTAAGTAATCTCCATGGTAATGAGATGTGCCAATGTGAATACATCTGCATACCAAATATCATTGACCTACCACTAGTGGTTCCCCATAAACTGACCTAATCACAAACTAATACATGTAAACTAAGCAAAGTTTCAAAGTCAATAGAACTTGACTGAGGGGGTGGGGCCAAATAATCTCCATGGTAATGAGATGTGCCAATGCTAATACAACTGCATACCAAATATCATTGACCTACCACTAGTGGTTCACCATGAACTAGACCTAATCTCAAACTAATACATTGTTGACGCCTCCGCCATTGCTGCAGACGCCGGAAACAGCATACCTATGTCTCGCTTTTTGATTCCGTCAAGGCAAGACAATAAATGGACCTTTGCTTCTGAACGGTAAAAGTGAGAATCTGTAGTTTGCCATTTCATTTCCTTTGTCTTTTCGTAATGGTAATGTCTGTTCTTCTTTTATTTCTTGTTAGAATTGCCTCCCTGGTATAACTATCTTCTTACTTTTTTTATAACAATTTCTATATATATTTCACATTTTCTTTATTCATTTATAACTTACTGATGGTTTCTGTGGAATATCTTTTTGTCTTTGTTCTGCAATATCTAAAATGAGTAAATGTTTTTAAGCTTGATTAATTCTGAATTTGATTAGGGTTTCAGTTTGCATATATATTTTTCTTCAAATATCAAATAAATTTGTGCACCAAAAAATACACTACAAATGTGGAGGGTAATACTGTGTACATAAGAGTATTATCATATTTTTTTTCAAAATGCATACATGCTGGTTATCTCCATGGATGAAAATTTAACCATGGAGGAACTCTCACCAGGACAAAACCCAGCATGTCGTGATCGACAATATTTCATTCCTACATTTCATTGTAAGGAATAGTGAATAGACTGATATATTGTTTATTATATTCATTTCATTATAGAATAACCAATATTTTCATTAATTGTCATTTGTAATTTGTCATAATTCCAATCATGCCAATGTCAGATTATTAAGTTGCAGTAGATATTCAAGTATTTACTTTTAAACTGCTAATGAGATTCATTATGATCAATAACTCCTGTTATTTGGCATGAAATTATGTTCTGTTTTATGATTAAAGGTGTAACCTTGTACTTGTTAAAAAAGGGGATGCTGATTGTGTAAATCAATAAAAGCATGTGTTCTTCTAAATACAAAAGTATTGATTTTGGCCCCTTTTTCCTAAACCGTTAGGGTCCTAACCCCCAAAAGCAATCCCAACCTTGCTCTTATGGTATAAAACCTTGTGACACAATTAATTAGCAATCGATAGATTTTTTTTTGCCCCTTTTTGGGCCTTAATTCTTAAATAGTTTGGGCCATGACCCCCAAAATCAATCACAACCTTCCTTTTGAGGTATAGAATCTTGTGGTAAAATTTCATAGAGATCCATACACTTATACACAATATATTGTCCTGAAACAAGAAAAATGCTTATTTTTGGTCCCTTTTTGGCCTTTAATTACTAAATAGCTACGACAATAACCCCCAAAATCAATCCCAACCTTCCTATAGTGTTATGAAACCTTGTGCTAAAGTTTTATACAGATCCATACACTTATACTCAAGTTTATATTGTCGGCGAACCAAAATGTCTTCGGATGCAGACGCAGACATCGCCATAACATAATATGAACGTAAAAAATTTTGTGGTAGTGTATAAAGCTTCTGTCCAAATTTCATCAAATTCCATAATGGATTGACAAAGTTATTGTTGTCACAAAAAAACTTGTAAATAATTATGTACATACTTTTGACAGTGAAAAAATCTGATATTTTCTTATTTGTATTTGTATCTACTAGAACTGCATCAACATCCATACCATCCTCATCATTATCATCATCAGTTGGTGTGGGAGGCTGTACAGAGGGTACTGATGGGGGAACTATATGTCCTGTATTGTCTAAGCACATTTGTCCTGAAACATTTTGGTTTGGGATCGAAGCACAGTTTTCATTAGCATCTATATTGATATCATCCAATTGTTTCTGAGCTCCTGTAAACAACAGCTGTTTTGTCTTTTCTGAAAAATATTTTCTCTGCATTAAATCATATTTTCATGTTTAGCTTCTTACTAAATAAATATTTTTTTCATGCCATGCTCTATGCTCATTTTAACATTGGTAGGCATTGATATTTGTCAATATTTTTTTACCAAGCCTTGGCCTACCCATGTTAAAATGTACATAGAACATAGCATGATAGAATCATTTAGATGCTAATAGGAAATTCTGAATTTTTGTATTTAGAAGCTGACCTATAAGACATAATTGAGACAGCCACATTTATTTAAAGAAGCAACAAACACTCTATAAAACCAACCGTTTCACACATAAAAAGTGAACAGATACATATAAATACTTTAAGCAAAAGCAACACCATCAAAATTTTCTATTTTGACCTCAGGCATTGTTCAAAATATCTAATGTTCTATTGGAACAAGGTTTTGTTTACAAAGCCAAAGAGTGTCATCTTAGAAATCTATATATCTATGTTAATTCTTATTCAAATCTGTTTTGAATATAATTTTGCCCTATTCGAACTAAGCACTTCATATACCATGACTGAAGACAATATATGTTTCTTGACCTCAGAGAAGGATCCTGCAAGAAGCTTTTTTAACTTAAAAATAAGGGCTTCTCACAAATACTGAAAATTTAAACTAAATTTGTGATGAGACTTCTGATATGTAAACAGTAAGGAGTGTTGTTTCTGACTTTTTTTTTACCAGACTAGCTTTTCTGTAATCGAGAGCCCTTTTTGCCCTTGCTTTCCAAATCAAGTGCCATCTTTCATGTCTTTTAATTCCTATTTCAAGTTAGTGGTCATCTTGGTGGCAGCTGTACAGAGCATGTTTTTTATTGAGTGTTTTACTGCTATAACTTACATGACTTACGTATAGAAAGGTTTACTTTTATAACTTACATGACTTACGTATAGAAAGGTTTACTTTTATAACTTACATGACTTACGTATAGAAAGGTTTACTTTTATAACTTACATGACTTACGTAAAGAAAGGTTTACTTTTATAACTTACATGACTTACGTATAGAAAGGTTTACTTTTATAACTTACATGACTTACATATAGAAAGGAAAAGAGGGATACTTGTTCCAAGGGAAAAAGGTTACTTCTCAAATCATATATATATCTTTCAACGGCTGTTAATCTGTTATAATATTGTAATATTGTATCTATGAATAAGAGTAAAAATACAATAGACATTGAGGGGTACTACTTATACAGGTGATTTCAGAATCACCTTTTTAAGTAATTTTGGCATTGAAAAATAAAAAAATTTACAAAATCAGACACAGACTTTTTAAAAGAACTGAAACAAGCAATTTGAGAAGAAATAAAACGCTCTGCTGGGCGCAGCTTGATACGACTGCAGAGGTCGAACCCTGAACAGTTGGGGCAAGTATGGACACAACATTCAAGCTTGATACAGCACTGAATTTGGATTGTGATTAAATATTTGACACAGCATAGGTTTCTGACACAGAATGAATGTGGTCTAAGAACTTAAATTTTTTTAATTTACCTATTCAAACCATATCATTATCATTTGCTTTTATATATAAATCAGAAATAACCAATTTAAAATGGAAAATTTTAAAGAAAAAAAAACCCCAAAACTTAGAAACGTTAAAGGGAAAGTCCACGATTTTTTACTTATCACCTAAATATGTTCATCTTAACATAAAAAACAAATTCACAAAGTTTTAAATTTATATTCTTTCTAATAACGGAGAAAATCAAGTATTTGTAACTTTTTTGGTTGACCTACGTCACTGGGTTGTGACGTTTTAACCCGATTTGTTGAATCATGGGAAAAAATAAAATCTGTTAAAGTCTTAATTGCTTATCAGAATTTTACATAATTAAAAGCGCACAGATGACCGTTGGTCGTAGTTAATAACCACAATATAAGAATGAAAGAAAATGAATATGTGTGTACCGTTTTGTATTGATTGAATAAAACTTCCTATATGAAGTTAACTTAATATAAATATTTTCGAATTAATTTTATAAATTATTCAGATTTTTTCATAAAATATCTATAGAACATTTTTACTGATATTGAACTGAAAATATTTTAAGTTTTATTTACCGTTATAACTTTGATAACCATTTCAATGCAAAATATTTGTGAACAGAGTGTGTATATTATTTTGTAAAGTCATTGTTTATTTCTCGATTTGAAGAGAATTCGTTTGAACTTTACCTTGCAGCAATTTAGCCTCAGGCGTACACAGGTGTGAATATTGTCATTTTGAATGGATTAACAGAAAGAGTATAGCGTGTTTAATATACCCAGATGAAATACCCGATGACAATAGAGAAACAATAATTAAATTGTATAAATAAATTGAAAATTAACATTCAACTTTTTAATTCCGGAAGTGTTACAATATTAAAATGGAACAATTTTCGGTTATGTTCTATGCAATTAGCATAAAGTTAAGATATGAAGTTAAAAGAATAGTACTTTTAATCTTAAAAATTAAATGTTACATTTCCCAATTAATAATCATTGCACATCTGTTTAATTTACTTTACCGGAATTCTTTAGCTTGTATTTAAATCTGGCGATGTTTAAATGCTAACAATCTTAAAACTATCGCATATTTAAAGTTTTTAATTGAAAAAATTCAACAGTACAACATGCATGATTTTTTTTTAATTTTCTTATTAACATTTCATTCTTACATTATTAAATTCATTTGACAATCACTTAGACAAATTATTTGTGAAAAGAATACCAATTATCGTTTATTTCATTAATGAATATACATACATTATAAATCTAAACTAATACATTAATTTGTTTGAGGATTTTTTTTAGGATAGCCGTCATTAATCCAAATTAGCAATACAGTTGTTGTAATTAAAGGCATATCTTAGTAATGTATTACTGATATTGACGATTTTAGAACAGTTCGTCCCAACCTCGTTGTTCCTGCAACAATCTTTACTAGTATACTTGTAAGTTTCCTGACGTATATGCGCCATTGAGGATGAGCTCCAGAGATAGCAGACTAGTAGCGTATTTGTTTGTTGGGGCAGGAGAGGCCATGCAACCACTTGTACAGATAAACAAGCTTATGTTGTCAACACTATCAGAAAGAGTTCCCATCGTCGGATGGGGTATATGAAGGTTCCAAGAATGAACTATTGACATGTCTGACTCTGAACAGTTAGTAAACGGACTTTACAATGATCTATAGGCATCGACCGCTTGTTCTTGTTATTTGAAACTGCATGCATATATACGTTTATGAGAGTGATTATTTATCTTGTGTCTGACGAAAACTAAATGCCTGCATGGTTATATCTTGCCATACGTTTGTATTGGTTTGGTGGGTGTTCACTCAAAATCGTAATTCAAAAATCGTGTTTGTGAGATGTAGATTCACTTCAATACCGAATTTCGTCTATGTATTTCACAAGTGTATACCACGGAGAAGATCTGAAGGTATATTACTCACATTTTGTTTTGGTGTGAACCATCGATGTTTACAGCAATATTTAATGAATAAGATGATGATGGTAGAAAGAACTATGAGCGTCATGTGGCAAATATTACATGCATGTCGGACCATGAGTTGTCAATCTGTATGAAAAAGATTTCCAATACAACCATATTGAGTAGAAAAGTTTACATGCTATACTCTCGTACTAGTATTACAGGGTTCTTGTGTCGTTTAACTCAGACACGCATCTTTTACTTTAAGATGTATGAAAGGTTCTAAATATATATATATATCTTAAATGTAAAAATAATCAAACGCCTATAGGCAATCACTAAAATGGTATGAAGTTTTTATACAGATTTATTCTTATTTACACAATCAATAACAAACTAAATAAATTTAACAAATTAACACCTTGACACTACAATATAACAAATGGGATACTAATTATTTTTAACCATGCTATGCAGAAACTTAACACATCAAGCAGGAACATATATATTAATATACTGTTCCCAGCATCAAGTTAGTGCATGTGAATACCAATTAGGAACACGATGTGTGATTTTGTATAACTAAAAATATCAAAGCGAGCAATAACTTTGTCAAGCAAACATTTTTTTTCACTATGCCTCTCTTTATCTCCGCTCCTTTACAATAACTATTTCGCTTTTCGTCGATCATTCTCTATATTGTTCTCTATTCGGTTATTTTTTTTTCACTATGCCACTCTATCTCCGCTCCTTTTTCCCCTGTCGTCCTAATCCTTATAAAGATAGGAACATTAGACATAGAAGGGGCTCTCTTATCTTCAATGAATTAATATTGATAGTGACTATAAGTGCTGCATTACTTTATATATCTGCATGTTTGCCAATCGAGAAAAGCTTGTATTTGCGTGAAGAATTTTTTTTTCTTCAAAAATATGGTCCAGAATCATGACAAAACAATATTTATTTCACAAAAATGTTCAAAGGTCATGTTTATAATTTTTTTAAACTTATTATCAGCAAAAATAGTGGATATTATTATCAGAACATCATTCATTAAAAGGTGGAATGATAATTTTCAAACACACACAAGATAAACAACGTTAGACACAAATATATGGTTCAATAAATGTTACCTGTGCACACCGGGTACCTCAATGAAGAGGCCATGCATGAACCTGTATTATATAATTGTGTAATACGAATTTTTAGTTGACAGGATGTCACTGGAATACCCAGGGACGTGTATCTAATATACGTCCTTGGAATACCAAACTGAATGTGTCGCTCTGACACATCTATCAATAATTCTGACATACCTATTATCAATTCGGGAGGAAGCCAAAATATATATATAATAAGATAACATAAATAAAATTTAAAAAGAAAAAAATCTATAAATTTTTCACCAAACATACCAGATAGAGTCACACATTTAACTGTAAAGCTAAGTGCCTTTATAAGTGACCGTTCCGAATTGATCCCGTATCAATTTGATATGATTTAAAGGTTAGTTAAAAAAAACCCACTTTTAATAAAAAAATTGAGATGTCC